CCAGTAAGGCTGAACTAGACCAGTTCATCTTCTCCCCAGACTGCAGCCTCTGACAGGCCAGGGAGAGACACGGAAAACCTGCTGGATTCTGGACCCTGAGGTCCTGTGATGGGAACCTCTGTATTAGAGGCTCCCAGGCTGTCCTTTTGAATACGTTTGCACATTGCAGTGCACTTACAAGAGTGCAAATTAAACTGTTTCAGCTTCAGCAATGCAGTTTGGAATAGCCTGCATTGAATCAGACAGCCGTGCACTGGTAGACGTGACTGTTCTGTAAAACCTGGAGTGGATCAGACGGCTGTGCACTGGTAGACTGTTCTGTAAAACCTGGAGTGGATCAGATGGCTGTTTTCCTTGGCGAGTGTGTGTAAATCTGGGGGAGGGAGGGGCTCCAATTTGAATGTTCTTCAAAACTGTTAGATTGTGTGAAATGAGTTCCCCTTTTCTCAATGTACCTTTTTAAAAAATATACTTTTCAGTTGCTCTCGACTGTTTAGTTTCATGATTATTTTTTTTCCCCCCCCAAGATTAAAACTGGGAAACTTGAGTCATCTTAAGAATTTGTTTCCTGCAGAGTCTTAATTTTCTTCCTAGCAGATTTTACACTTTGCTCTTTAGAGGTTGCATCCCAACTTTGACTCCCACTCTGATCACCGAGATGTGTGCAGCTGTATATCTGTAGATTGTGACCAATTGTTACTTGTCTGTTCCTTTGCAGTGAGGCATTCTAATTGTTGTGACGTGGTATTAATTATAATGAATTATCCATGAAATAGCCAAGCAGGTATAAAGCCCCTGTGCCTCTGTGGGGCTGTAGTACTGGTAGTGGTGCCAGTTGTCTGAGCAGAGGCACTAGGACCGCGGACGGCAGGCTGGGCACACACAGGCCAGCCGACACACGCAGAGGGACGGAGGGAGTCTTCTCTTTCACGTGGAGCTGTATTGACATTAATAAAATCAGTTTCAAACAAAAGGAAGGCACTTTATTTACAGGCATAATCTGGGTCATGTTGCTGTCATTATGGTTTTTATGCAGTAGCCTGGGGGGTGTAAGGGTAAAGGGTGAGTATAGGTCCAGTCCAGACTGAGCTGGGTTCTATTGTGTCCCTGCAGGCCAGAGATCACTGG